TTTCAGGAGCCCCCTTACCCACCTCTTACGTATATAAGCTGTCCTAGACTCAGTGAGGCAAGCAAGGCAGCTTTGGGAACAATCCCCTGCCTTCGGGTCCATCCAGCTGCCCTTCCAGTAACAAAACTTTCTTTGCTTCAAAACTGGTATCTCAGGAGCTCCTGGGTGACTCAGGTTATGATCCTGGAGTCCTGGGATTGAGCCCCACATAAGGCTTCTCCCTCTCCTTTTGCCCCACACCACCCCCTGCCATGTTCATGACTGAGCACACGCTCTCTCCCTCTCTCAATAAACAAATAAAATCTTAAAAGAAAACTGTAGCTAACTGAAGCAAGAAAAAAGACAAACAGTATCAAGAATAGAAAGGGGGACCTAACTCCAGACTTCGTAGATTTTTTAAAATTACATATGAACGCTGTGAGCAACTCTATGTCAACACGTTTGAAAATGTAGATGAAATGGAGAATTCTCTGAGGAAATGTAAATTACCAAAACTGACTTAAGGAAGGAAAACTTGAATAAAACAATGAACATTAAAGAAATTGAATCAGTATTCATGTTTCTCTGCTTCCCATTCCTCAAACACTGGGAAGAAAACACTTGTTTCAGGGGCATCTGGCTGGCTCCGTTTGTGGAGCGTAAGACTCTGAGTTTGGGGTTCAAGATCCACGTTGGGCATGGAGCTTACTTTTGAAATAAAATGAACAAATACTATCCTTGTTTCGGAAGAAAAAAGGGGAGGGAATGGGAGCCATAGCACCCAATCTTATCTAAAGCCAAAACCAGACAAAGGCCATCAGGAGAAGGAAAAGTAAAGACCTCTTCCTCCTTCTGTAGATACATGCAAGATACGGAAGTTAAATAACAGTAAATTTAACTTTGCCGACCTCAAACAAAATTGGTTGTGTTTTATTTCAGGTATGTAAAAATAGTAAGATCACAAACTCTCTTAGTGTCCTTCAGGTTAAAAGAGAACAACTCTGTGACCATCTTAATGGACCCAGAAAAAAACACCCAATACAAATCATAGTCACTTTTTTTTTTAAAGATTTTATTTATTTGACAGAGAGAGACACAGCAAGAGAGAGAGGGAACACAAGCAGGGGGAGTGGGAGAGGGAGAGGCAGGCTTCCCACAGAGCAGGGAGCCCGATGAGGGACTTGATCCCAGGACCCTGGGATCATGACCTGAGCAGAAGGAAGACGCTTAACTGACTGAGCCACCCAGGTGCCCCCTTGGTCACTCTTGACTTTAAAACACTCTAACAAACTAGAATTAAAAAGTAACTTTCCAGGGCACTTGGGTGATTCCGACAGGTTAAGCATCTGACTTGGGATCAGGTCATGATCCCCAGGTTCTGGGACAGAACACTGCGATGGGAGTGGGCTTTCTGCTCAGCGGGGGTGGGGTGTGGGGTGGTCCCACCTCTTCCTCTCCCTCCGCCCCTCCCCCCTTATGCTCTCTTTCTCTCTCTTTCTCTCTCAGATAAATAAAATCTAAAAAAAAAGGAACCTTCCTACCTGATTAGCAGGATTCATCAAATATGTATATAATTCATTAATACGTATATAATGGTGACATTTTAGGAAGAGTTTCAATAAAGCCCTAGGAAGGGGTACCTGGCTCTCTTTATGGTAGGGCACACTCTGTTCATCTTGGGGTTGTGAGTTTGAGCCCCATGTTGGGTGTAGAGATTACTTTTACAAAAATCTTAAAAAAAAAAAAAAAAGCCCTTGGGAAGGCGATGGTCCCACTTCTGTTCAACCTTGTACTGAACGTCCTGAGTGCACTTGACCCGTGCCAGGGGCAGGGCACACAAATTATCATAGGATCTAACCAGCAGGGTAAAATGCAGGCCCTCGTGGGCCTGATGTATTCAGGGAAACAAGCAGGTGGAGACAGATCATGTAATAGGATGGAGCCATAGTGGGGTGGCGGGTAAGGTGCCCGAGAGGAAGGGGGCACCCCACGATCTCTGAGGGGGGCCTAAATGATAATTTCCCAAACAAGTTAAAACAGGAATATCACATCTAAAATGAGTTTGCAGAAGTAATTTTTCCAACGTGTTAATTAATGAAGAAACCACTAAGATGTTAAGACCAGTTGAGAAGAGAATGTGAAAGTCGGCCATGCGTGCAGGCAATCAGGAATGCTGGGATGGCTTTGCTGGCTGGAGCCACAATGCTCGGTGCTCCACAGGGCGCTAAGACAGAAGGTTTGATGGCATCTTCTCCCGAGGACAGACACCAGTTGTAACTCTGTGGGACAAAATGCATTTGCATTGTTATGGACAAAAATTATCTCCATTTCTCACGACTTAACTTCCCCCCTATTCCGAGGTGTAAACTAGCCTCCCATACATACTCCTCCAGAGCCAGGTGGGCCCTGGGGAGGGGGCTGCGCCCACACCCCACGGAAAGTTCACTCGTACTTGCATCCCTCTGCCCATTTCCAATCGGACAATCCCTCTTGGCAGGGATTAGAGGATCTCAATCTAGCAAACTACCACCCGGGAGCTTTCACTTTTTATGTTTTTAAGATTTTATGTATTTGACAGAGAGAGAGCACCAGTGGCAGGCAGAGGGAGAGGGAGAAGCAGACTCCCACAGAGCAGGGAGCCCGGACCAGGCTCGATCCCAGGACCCCTGGTCAAGACCTGAGCCCAAGGCAGACGCTTAACCAAAGGAGCCACCCAGGCAGCCCTGTGAACGGGGAGCTTTTAAACATTCTGATTCCCAGGCCACACCCCAGACCTACAAAATCAGTATTTGTGGAGGGCGGTCCCTGGTGTCAGGCTCCTTAAAGCTCTTAGGTGATTCTGCTGTACTTCCAAAGAACCACTGCCCGGAAGACAAACAAGCAGGAGCAGAAGGCCAGCTCCCCTCTCCTCCCCTCCCCTCCCCTCCCCTCCCACTCTCCACTTACCTCTGGGCCCCACCCCTTCCCTCCCCAGCTCTGCCCCATCCCTCCTCTCTGCTCCTCACCCAGGCCCAGCTGGGCTTCCACAGTGCTTCTGGGGGGTGGGGGATGGGGGGTGAGGGGTCCTGAAACTTGCCTACTTTTGTGCAGAAAGCACCAGGTGGTGGCAGCCCAGGACAACCCCCCTGCAACCCCACCCTGCGGGATGGTCCGGGAAGATGGCATCTTTTGAAAATGTTTTCCTCCAACACCCAGAAGGAACCCACAGCTTGAGAGCAGCAAATGAGAAGAAATCCATCACCCTCAGGAAATTGGTTCCGGCAGCCCCGCAGAGTGGCAGTAATCAGAAGCCCTTTGAGTGCCCCGCTAAATAAATAGGTTTAAAACTAATGCACCAGCTGCTGCAGGAAAGCATGTACCCCAAGATGGGTGGGCTGTGGGGCTGCCCATATCTGCTTGGCAAGGGCATAAATCTGGGCACATGAGGGGGTCCAGCTCCCACTGGCTGCTTTCACAGAAGGCAGAATGAGCAAATAAATCTACTCTCAGCCTCCAGAACATGTTTTCAGCCCTGGGAGAGCTGCAAATCCGGGGCAGGGTGCTCACTCCTCAGAGAGGGGGTGTGCTGGGGAGCATCAGGTTCAAAGGCAAATAGTACCCAGGACTCCCTGGGCCCCAAAGGGAAGTCTCCTAAGGTAGGTACGGAAGGCAGCTCTTGTCTGCTGAACCCCGGGCTTGCTGCCACCCCTTGGCCTCTGAGCAAGGACACTGAGAGCCATTGAGTGGTGACAGGGCTTAGCCAGGTCCTCCTGGGCCTCTCTGAGCCACCAGACCGAAGAGCGCGTTGAAGAGTCCTCATTAAGATGAGCTGTGGGAGTCACTCTGAACTACTAGGCAGCACTCCAAGCCTGGGCACTGCTCCTCTCCCTCCATTGTGACTCTTGTAAGACAAGCCACTAGTCTAAGAGCTCGTTTGCTACATCAAAGTGACAGCGGGTCTTGCAAATCAGTGAATCACAGCCAATTTGCAGAGTTCCTGTTACAGGTACAAATGTGCCCGGTGTTTGGAGGGGACATTTTGAAAAGAAGGACACAGAGAAGCACATCTGTGATTTCCGAAAGCATCACTTCCTGGGCACCAGCTGTCACCTGGCCCTTTCATCCTCCAGCCTCCAAACACCCTGCACAGCACCAGGAAGCAGAGACCAGAGTCACCTCCCCTTTCCCTCCAGCAACAGGAGCACGCAGTTAAAAGACAGTACGTTTTGCAAACTCCCTTGTAGCCAAATGTGACAAATCAAGGTGCCTGCAGGGCTGATTCTTGCCTGAGGCTCCGGAGGAGAAGACTTTCCTTGCTCTTTCCAGCTTCTAGAGGCTACTGCATTCCTTGGCTCATGGCCCCCTTTCCCCACCTTCAAGTCCAGCAGCTTCCAGGGTCACGTCTCCTCTCTGTCTCACTCTCCTGCTTCTGTCTTACAAGGACCCTTGTGATGACGTCAGGCCCACCTGGACAGTCCAGGACCATATCCCCATCCCGGGGTTCCCAGCTTCATCTCATCTGCAGGGTCCCTTCTGCACTGTGAGGTGACACATCCGGGGTCCGAGGACTAGGGCACGCACAGCCACGGGAGCGATTGTGCTTTTCATCCCAGACCTACTACACCCCGTCCCTCTGACCTCACACATGCAGATGACTTCCTGTGGGAGCTGTCCCCTCTGTGCCCCTCCTCAACCCCACCCCCTGCACCAGAGGGGAGAGGGGCGGGCCGGGGGGTGGAGCCAGAGTTCCAGAGGCCCGACCCCGTCCCTCGATGGGGTTTTTGAGCCCCTGCAGCTGCTCCGCCCGGGGACACCGGGCACAGGAAGGAATAAGTGCACTTTCTAATGCGACTCGGCCTGGGTTTCTGTCACCTGTACCCGCGAAACCACACACTCTGTCAGGAGACTCAGGACACATGCGATCCCTGTCCGGGCTGCTCGGGCCATCCCTGCTGGAGAGGCCAGAAGGAAAGCAGAAGGCGGGCGGCTTTTGCCTTTTGGCCGACTGGAGCAAGTCACCATTTGCCCCAAGTGGGGCCTTTGGCACGTCCACAGTCCTCTTGACTGGAACATAAAACCCCGGTCTTTTAGCGTGGGATGTCATTCAGCCCTAACCAGAAGCGAAGCACCGATACGTGTCACAACTTGGATGAGCTCGAAAGCAGGGGCCCCATCGCGGCTGGCTAGGACCCGCCGGCTTCAGCCCCTTTAAGACGACTTTGGAGGACCCAGTTTCAAAGCCCGGGGCGACTCTCTGGCCCCCGCCTCTATGGTGCGTCGTCACTTCCGGCCGGAAGTGCGTGTGCAGCGCGGCTTCGGCGCAGGGGGCGTGGAGTGAGTGGAGGCGCGCGCTTGCTCGTGGGTAAGGAAGGGGAGTCCTGGCGCGGGGCGCGGGGTGACGCGGGGGTCTCCGCCGCCACCGGCCCCAGCCTGGGTAGCAGGGCCTCGGACGGGGAAGGCGGAGGGGGCTTGGGCCGAACTCAGGCTCCGACGCCGGGGCGGGGCTGCGGCCGGGCCGGGGGCCGAGCGGGGGTCTGCGGAGCGCGTGGGCCGCGGTTGAGCCTCCGGTTCCTGGAACCCGCCGTGCGACTCTCTCTCCCCAGGGTTCGTCAGAAAACGAGAACTTCCAGCCCCCGGCGGTGAGACGCGGGCAGGCCGCGGGCGGGGCGAGCCCTCCGCGCTCGGTGCGGGAGTCTAGGTGCGTGGGTCACGCGCCGGGACGGAGAGTCTCGAGGCCGATGGTCTGGGGAAAGGCTCCTGCGTTGCTGAACCCGCGCGGCTGTGGGTGCAGCCTTGTACCAGGCAGCCCGAGCCTGACCTAGAGAAAATTCCCGGGAGCAGTGCCCCCCGGGGTTTGAATTTGCAGTAACAGGTGTGAGCATTCTAGCAGCAGTTTGGTGATCATGTATGATACTGCAAACAGGCCGCACGCCGGGGGGGCCTTAGAGTTGGTACCGCGGAGCAGAGTGGACTTCGTGCGTACCGACGGGTACTCGGCCATGCGCCATTCCCAATGTTCGTGCGCGCAGAGACGGACGGGACAGCCCAGGCCCTTGTGCTCGGGGGAGCTTCGGCCCCGCTGGGGAGATGAGATCAAATGATGGCCCTGCAGAGGGTGTAATTCAGGCTGAGGCCAAAACCCCGAAGGACATCGCGGTCCCGTTAGCAGCTACATCACGAGGAGCAGATGGCGGCCTGCCTGAGCTAGACTCTGAAGGACGAGCAGGAGTTCTCTGGAAGGCTGGGGTTCCGCAAGTGCAAAGGCCCAGCGAGCTAGCAGACGTGGCCAGTGTTGGAGCCGGAGGAAGGCCATTGTAACCCCAACAGCAAGGGGAATGGTGTGGGGTGAAGCTGAAAAGTGGGGAGGGGCCAGACCACGCAGGGCCTGTGGCTCACAGGAGTATTTCAATCTTTCCTAATCACGCGGGGGGGCCATTCTGGGTCGTAAATGTTTCTGATTTTAAAGAGGATGAGGTGCTAACGTCTGTAATCTCACGAGAACACCAGATACAAAACAGTGCCGTCCGTGGAGCTTCTGCAGTGCTGGACATGGTCTGGGTCTGCCCTGTCCCGTAGAGCAGCCACAAGCCACGTGTGGCTGTCGGACACTTGGCAGTGTGGCTGGTGTTGCCGGGGGACTGGGGTTTTCATTTTAGTTTAAATGTATGTAACCCCGTGTGGCCAGTGGCCATGATGTTGGAGAGCACAGGTCTAGCGGGTATCGGAGACGCAGGAGCCCCTTTATTGGAATCGAGCCGCACAGAGACTAACGTCTCCTGCACCTCATCCCCTCCCGGGTAAAGGCTGAGGGATTCTGCTTTTCAGAGAGTCCTCCCGTCTTCTGACCAGCTCACACCTACCAGTGCCTTTGTGCTCTTGGCTGGAAGGCCGTGTGCTCCTCGCGAAGTGACTCCATCCCTTGGCCTCCTGGGTGGTCGTGAGCACCCGGATGGAGGAGTGCCTGCAGTGGCCCGGGCATGCTGTCTGTGACCGGGGGAGCAGGGTGGGGTTGGAGGAGTCGCGGTGTTGTGGGGGGGGCTTAGAATCTAGAGAGGTGGGCATGGTAAGTGCTGTGGAGCCACAGGAAGGGACATAGCCAATAGGACATAATGGCATGTGACCCCGTGGGGACATAAAGGCTGTTTCCTGCTGATGACACGTGGCAAAGGGCAGGAGGGGTGGACGTGCCTGAGGATGTGGGCAGCTCGTGAGTCGGGGCCAATCTGGGGAAGCATGTGGCTGTGGGCAGGGAAGAGAATGTAGGAACGCAGAGGCTGGGGTGGGGTTTCGGGGCGTTGTCAGAGCCCAGCTTCATTGCGGCTTCCATGCAGGCAGGTGTCTGAGGCGGGCCCCAGGTACTGTGCAGATGATAGCCGGAGAGGGAGGGGGTGGGTATGAAATCCCTGTGGTTGCCCCCACCGACCGGGGCGGTGGCCAGCCCCGCATGGAGCCTGCAGACCTGAAAGGAGGAGGGGCCGGTAGACGCGGGGTCAGTGCAGGGCACCTTCCGCGGTGTATTCCAGGTGGTAAGATCTCGGGGGGTGTTTTATGGTGCTAACGGACTTACGAAGGCAGAATGAAAACTGATGGAGTGTACTTTCTTTGCAGGTGAGTTCACGGGAAGATCTGTGTGCGGGGTGAATGCTTCCGTGTACCTGAAGTGTAATTGTTGGGGGCTTGGAACTTTCCAGCTTCCTTGGGTTTCATTTACTCGACCATGTAGCTTCTGAATGCCGACCTGCTGAAGACCCTGTTTTGTATGGATACAAATAAAAGGGGTCCGTCCCCAAGGAGACTTCTTCGTGCACTTTATGGTCTTGGTCCTCACCGACCTTGCGCGCAGTGTGTCACCTCTGCTGCTGAGGTGCACAGTTGGCGGCCCGGCTCCCAGCTGAGGGGACTGAGCTGTTCGCGCTTCTCTGTAGGAAGTGTGGGCGCTGGGGCTGTCTAGAAGCGGGGGGCACGTGGAGGGAGGTGACCTCGGTCTCCGTGATCTAGGAGGAAGGGGTGGTGAGTGTAGTTTCGGGTCGTGTTCACCTTGTGCAGACTTCACTTTGGATAGAGTTTTCCAGAAAGTGGCTGCTGGCCTCAGAACTGGTCACCGGTAGCTGCTGGGCGCCCACCTCTGCTTCCTCACCCGGGTCTCAAGCCCTGAGCGGGCGCCGTCTCCACGGAGAATTCTCCCGGCCTTCCTCTCTGAATGCTCACCACGTATCGATGTGAGGAAAGGAGAAGCCTTTCCTCTATTTCCTGCTGTCGTTACGTGACAGGTACGACCTGTACGTGTTTTATGTAGTCCGGGACGGTTATCCTGACCTTCAGACCTAGTGCCACACCCGGAGTTCCTGCCTGTCGTCCTCGCTTGTGTCTGTCTTTGCCGGACTTAGTGAATCTTTTGCCTCAGCATCCTCTCGCCCAACCCTCTTCTGGTCCAGCTCAACTCCTGGAGGGGCCGCCCCCCGAGTTGCTGCAGAGCCAAGAACGTAACTTCAGACCTTGCCAGGGAAGCCGTTGGTGGGCTTTGTCACAGACCCCTAGTCTGAGAGCCCGTCACTGTGGAGAGGAGGCATGGCCCCCCGGGGGACGGCAGCCGGCCTGTCAGCCCTGAAGGGCAGAGGTACCCGCGCGGTCGGCAGCCCGAGCGTTAGCGGGCCTTTCCCATCCTGGCTCCGTCCCTGGCCCACTGTGTCTCATTAGGCTGGTCGCTTCCCCGTTTCTTAGTAAAATGGGGACCATGGGGACGGTGACTCCCAAAGGTGGGCACCTGTGAGGAGTCAGCAAGTCGTGGGACGTGCTCAGGAGCACGGCAGACCCACGGACTGGCTGTTGCCCATTCTCAGATTTCCAGGGCGTTTCATGGTGTTTCCGGCCACGAGCTTCCAGAGCGCTGGCGTGCAGCAGGTCCTGGCAGACAAGGTGCCGTCTGTCGCAGGAGGGGCCTGCCTGCTCCCAGGTGTGGGAGCTCGGGCAGGTTTGCTATAGCTTCTTGGCTTTTTCACCCGGTTCGTGTTCACGATTGGGCCACTCACGAGAGCACATAACTCTAGGGCGGGCCCTGCCCTCTGCATGAGGGACCTTAGAGGAAGCGTGATAATTGCCCAAATTAACATTGTGTTGGGATACGTGTCCTGGGGGAAATCATACATATTGGTATTTCTGGAAGAAACAGGTTGGATCCCGCTCACTGCCTTGTTCCTGGGTGTCTCTCTGGAATGTGAACGTCCACTCGGGCACAGCAGCTGCGGACGGGGCCTCGTGGCCTCGGTGTGTCTTGGAGCAGCGGCGGGGCTCTGTCTGTAGACTGACCCAGTGAGGTTCTTCAACCTTTGGTTCGAGAGATGAATCAGAAGCATTAGCTCCCCGCCCCCTGCAGCCCCCACAGGAACATCGTGTTTCTAGCACGGAAAATGATGGCACAGGAGTGCTTCATGTTGGTGGGGTCAGCTGTGGTGTACAGGGGCCTCTGGTTCTCGTTTGGTGTTAGCGTCAACAGAGGAGGGTGCCCGCGTTTCCCCGGTGCGTCCATGTGGCTCGGTCTGAGACCTCTCAGGGCGGGAGAGCCTGCAGAGAACAGGAGGAGGACGGACGAAGAGAGCCGCTCTGATTCAGAGGGGTGTGGGCTGAGATCCTGCAGTCTTCCCCAGCAGCCCCTCCCCTCCTCACCCCTCCAGATGCTTCCCCAGTGTGGGTGCTTCACTGAACCTCTGCCCCTTTCCTCTGGGGCCGCACCCCAAGACGACAGCCTCCATCCATCCTGCACCTTGGTGCGGTGTGCGCGGCTCTGTCGGTGATGGGAGGGAAGCCCGGAACCCACAGGAGGGGCTTAGGATTGCATTTGGCTGAGGCCCTACCTGAGAATATTCCCCAGCTGTCTCCTGCTCGGTCACTCGGTTCCAGCTGGCCTGGGCGCAGCGATGGTGTACTTGCTTCCCCCAAAGAACACGTAGCTAAAAGAGGCTGCCCATATGACGTGGACAGGCTTCAGCGTTTCTGGGTTTTGTTCCTCTGGATTATGTAAGAGAGGGTTGAGGCCGGCAGGAGTCCAGTCTTTTCAAAGAGCTGGGCCTTTTAATAATAGCAGTGGTTATTGAAATGCACAGTCCGTAAGAAGCAATGTTTTTTAATGTTAAAACATGGAACACAAAAGGCCTGTCGCAGAAAAGGGACTAAGAAAACAGCCTGCTGCACGGTTTTGAACTTCTTTCTTTGTCCACTAGAGGACGCAGTTCTGATGCGCCACCCTGTTCGCTTTTGTAACTTGGTCCAATTTTAGTTTTTAATTTCGCCAAGCCCTTATTTCACCAGAAAGTTCTGCAGAAGTTTAATCTGCAGGGTTGGGCTCCTTGTTAGGACTCTGCCAGGAGGTCCCCATTGCACACAGCTCTTGGGAAGCATTCGTCATGTCATGGACCAGCCAAGCCCCCGCCCAGGCACGGGACACTCACCTGGGGAGAAGAACACGAGAGCATGTCCTAACGCAACTTTCCGTCCACACTCACTCCGGGGGACCAGTTCTAGGCGGTGTGAGAGATCTTTCTTGGTAAGGACTTGCGTGCAACGCATACCAGTCCTCAAGGCCTCAGACGATATAGTAAGGGTTTAGAAGCACCTCTCGGGAGGATGTCGCTTGTACTTGCCCTTGAAAGGTACACGGCAACACAGAACAAGATCTGTGCAGAGCCCCTGTGGTTCAGGCTGCCGATCCTCGTCCGCTCGAAAGGTGCTGTTGGATTGGAAAAAGAGAGTTACGATCTCCAAGTGTCGTTTTAGGTGGAGTACTAAATGTCCCCGGGTTTGGGAACCGTGTTGACCGCTCTCTGATGCATTCAACATGCTTAACTGAGCACCGACCCCTGGCGAGTTAGGCTGGGCTGGGGAGCCAGGCACGGGCAACTCCCCTCCCTCCGAGAGGTCATGAGGGAAAGGGAGAAGCGTGGGGTGTGCTCTGGAGGAAAGGAAAACGGGGCCAGGATGGAGCCGGGTGTGGAGTTGCCGCTTCAGATCAGGGTGGTCAGGAAAGGGCCCGCATCCTAGGGGAATAGAGGAAATCATGCCAAGTCTGGCAGCACATCCTGGCAGGGGGAGTGGGGAAGGCGGGTGACCAAGGCGGCTTTCTGGGGAGGGTTGGAGGTGTCTGGGTGTCTGCTCTTGCAGGGCCTCGTAGGAAAGTCTCACTTTTACTCCCAGACAGGAGTCAGTAGCTCACAGTTTTCTCTCCTCTTTTAGGGACCATTTTCCCCTGCTGGCAGAGTATTGGCCTTCGAAGTATTTCCTGTTCTTGGGCTAACAGACTGGCCCGGTGCGGGGACCCGTGATCTGTGCAGAGGGAGTGTGCAGCTGTGGGAGGCACCCTCTCGCCTCTGTTGAACCGTAACCGTGTTGTTCCTTGGGGAACTAACCTGGACTTGGGAAGAGACATTTGGATAGAAGTTCCTGGGACAGCCTGTTGCCTTTCATCTTGTAGATGAAGCCAGAGACCGCCCAGACGTCCTGTCTCACCCACTGTCTGTTCTCTAGCCTCTTGCCACTTCTAGGAACCATGTACTTCTTGTTTTGTTTTTTTGTTTTTTTTTTTTCCCAACAAAGAGTAGATCTGTGTCATTTAAATTACTACCAAGAAGACAACAAAGTATATTCTCCTCTAACCTTCATAGCGCAGGGGCCTGTTTTGGTTTTACGGGGTTACACATAATGACTGTGTTTAAAAGCAATTCTTCATTCCGATATTTTTTTCAGATCAATTATGCAACTGCAGCAGAAAACTAGTTCTTTTCTTGCAAGTGTAATTAAAAATGGAGCCGAGTGAGTCAGGGGAAGGTCACGTGTCTCAGGCTTGGCAGCCGAGCCGTCGTGTCCTGGTTACGCAACACTGTTTTCGACCTGCGGCCCCCGTCAGCAAAACCTTCAGATGATCATATGGAATTAAAATAAGACTTTAACTTTCTTTGAACAACATGTTCTTTGTTAAAACCAGACTTGGGCTTTTAATGCTGACTTCCACTAGAGGCTCTGTAAACCGTATTCCATGCCCGCGGCTGTCCCCGCGGAACACATTTCTTAAAGTCAAACTCCCCACTTTCGCGCCCCTTTGAAACCTTGACTTGGTTGTCATCCGTCATGAAGACTTACGGGCAAAGCGTCCCCAAATCCCTTTCACTCCTGTGCCGTCTCTGTTCCAAATTGCCACACCCCTTTGAAAGTTTAATGGAGGAGATAAAAAATATTAAGAAGTCTAAATGAGGGGCGCCTGGGTGGCTCAGTGGGTTAAGCCTCTGCCTTTGGCTCAGGTCATGATCTCAGAGTCCTGGGATCGAGTCCTGCATTGGGCTCTCTGCTCTGTGGAGAGCCTGGTTCTCCCTCGCTGTCTGCCTGCCTCTCTGCCTACTTGTGATCTCTGTCAAATAAATAAATAAAATCTTTAAAAAAAAGAAGTCTAAATGAAATAGAGGGCTTCCTTCCTCCGGTTGCTTTAACATACACGTAAGCACTGCTTGGTGTTTGTTTTCATTTTTTAATTTTTTTCCTAAAGTAACTACACAAGTTTTTTTGTTTTCAGAGAGGTGAGGGAAGGGCAGCGAGAGAACCTAAGCGGCTCCACGACCAGCGTGGAGCCCAACGCCGGGCTTGATCTCACAACCCCGAGGTCATGACGAGCCAAAATCAAGAGTCAGGTGCTTAACTGACTGCACCACCCAGGTGCCCCAACAATGCACGAGTTTTAAAGCTCAGGGTTAAAAGCCTGGCCCCAGCAGCTGCTCCCTGCACCGCTCTTGCCGGGGGCCCTGCCCTCGGACA